TGGTATTTTTTAATGCTCATGGCCTGCTGAAAAGTGTGGGGTCTGATATGCTATTTTATTATTTAGGCCAAGATGTTGTGCATCGTCTCATGTGTCTCATCAAAGTTTTGGACCTGATGTTGTTACATTGATAACAAATGTTTGTTATGTAGTACCTCTAGAAGTTTGCAGTCTTCTGTCATTAGCTTGAGAGAAAACTGTCGCTCAAAATGTTTGACTGGTGTTGCTTTTGTAGACCCTGTAAATGTGCAGATACCAATTCAATTAAAACAGTTAAGAAACACTTCATACTGCAATTCACAGTAACAAAGAAAACTGAAAATAAAAAGTTCAACCAAACTTTACCTTCACATTTTTTTCCAGAAAACCCATCAGGGCAGATACACTCAAAACCATTCACTTCATCTCTGCATATGCCACCATTCTTACATGGATGAGAAAGGCAGTCATTAATATTAACTGCACAGTTGTAACCTGTAAAACCTGCCTTACAAGAGCACTTGACACTGTGACCTTTGTCTTGACAAGATATGGAATTGATGCACATCATGGGCTCCTGACAGAGGTCTATATCAATTTGGCAGTGATCTCCACTGAACCCCATACCACAATCACATCTGTAACCACCAACTTCATCGATACAACTTCCTCCATTCTGGCAAGGATTGGAAAGACATTCCTTAAGGTTGTAGTCACATTTGATCCCTGCATATCCAGGTGAGCAATGGCATTTGAAGCCATTTACTTGATCAATACATGTACCATGAGCACAAGGAGAATGTAAACATTCATCTATATCAACTTCACAGTGAGAGCCTAGGAGAAAATAAGAAACACATTACCCTTCCCTGCACTGTCACAGACAGAGATTTCTTATGTGTCATAATTTGCAAGCCATTCCATTTCAAGTTCTTTACAATAATTCTTACTCCCACAGGCAAGAAAACAAAACACCCTCTATGGCTGTTTTGTCCAATCCATGTCACATTCATCTCAGCTACATTTTATTATGACCTCTTGCTCTGCATCAAGTCATACTGTTATCCAGTCCTTTTACAAAAACATTACAATAAAACCTCAGTTTGAACAGTGAACTTAACCATCAAATCAAAAAGCAGACTTCAGTCTCTATTTTAAATGCTCAGCACATATCAAGTCCAAACCTCTAAGCTGTTGTTGATTTTGTTTGCCTGGGCACATACAAAGTGTCTGCAGCATTTATAGTGATAATCCAGAAAAACTTTTAAAAGCCCAGAGAGGTACATGTTAAAAAATATATGTACATTATTCTGTTCTGTTATGATCCATCAAATATTTTTGATCAAGCACAATTGCTCAAAACTCAGCTCATGACTGAATTTCCCCCAACTAAAACTGGGTGATAGCCAAGAATTTCACCCAAGTGATATTCCCCAACTTTCACACCCTACCTCTGCTACATTACGTCCTTGTTTTAAATTTAATTGGAGATGAGAGAGGGTTTTGTGGTCTTTACAGAAGAGGGGAAATCTTTTTTTGTTCATTCAGTTGCATAAGAGTACACTCCAAAGTAAACATCCCACACAGCATAGAGTAAGCTGTTTGTGAACATTTTTTCAGATTAATTTCAGATTAATCCTCTTACAAATGCATCAATTATGCTCTAAGGGATTGCACAAAATGGCTTATTGGCAGGTGTAACTTATGAACTGGGTTTATGGACCATTTCAAAGACTCCAAACAGATGGAGTTTTTCATGCATTATAAAGGATTATTATTGTGGATTAACAGGTTCTAGCCACAAAGAGACCCAAAGGTTTCATATTAAAAAATGACACTCAGACACGTGTGCAAAAACAAAACCATAAAAAAAATCAAGCAAGCAGGCACTAGAAATAAGTTTTCTATACTATTCTCAGCTATTCAGGTAACCCTTAGACTGTCAGTTGCTTATGTATAAGAACCCGTACTTAGAAAGTGGGACATACTACATGTTTAATTATGTACCTGTAAACCCAGAAGGGCACTTGCACTGGAAAGAACCAACCCTATCCACACAGCTGCCACCATTCAAACATGGACTTGAAGCACATTCATCAATATCAACTTCACAGCTCCTACCACTGAAGCCCCGCAGGCACTGACACGTAAAGTTGTTCACCTCTGGAATACAGTTACCACCATTTTGACACGGGGAGGACAGACACTTGTCAATGATTTCAGAACAGTCCCGTCCTTTGTACCCTGCCTTGCAAATACATACATGTGTGTTGCCGTCCTTTGAACTCTCAATGTTTTGACACAGAGCGTTATTTTTGCAAGGTTTCGAGAAACAATAGTCTACTTTTTCGCAAAAGTGTCCTCGAAATCCACCGCAACATTTGCAGCGGAAGTCGGGTAAACTGAAGTTTGTAGAGCATTGGCCTCGGCCAGAGCACATTTCACTAGTGGATGGAGGCCTACAATTGTTTTCTTTCACACTAACATTTAGTCGCAAGCCGAAGTCGCAGCGGAAAGTAGAGTCTATGTTAGCAATAAAATAATGCTTTCCAATATTCAGTATGTCTAAGCCCACAGAAACACTATCCATGGATTTATTTACAAGTGGAATGCCATTGCTCTCGTTACAGGTTAGGAATGCATTAGCTTCGTTTGTAGTAACGACGCGATGCGGTACAAATCCATCGACATAAGCCAAAATTTCCTCATCGGCAGTGAAATTAAGAGTGTCTCCGACTTGAATCTGCAAAGGCTTTAGCTGTACTTCCACAAAAGTATCGTACACGTCTGCTTCCGTATCATTCTCACCACCAAAACACGAATGACTTGTGCTACAGATACTGTCGCCATATCCCCAGATTATCGGTATAATAGCGGAACGATTTCGCCAGCAAGGCTTTTCGTCACATCGTGAAGTGCACTCCATAATGTCTATTTTATGAATCTCACAATGACGGCCATATGTGTCGTCTCGGCATACGCATTTGTATCCGTTGATTTCATCAACACAGAGAGCACCATTCTTGCAAGGTTGAGAAGCGCATTCATCTTCGTCAATATCGCACAATTTTCCTGTAAATCCTGGAGTACAGTAACACTTTGGGGTGCCAGCTGTAAGACTGCAAACACCATTAACGCATAGGTTTACTGGGCAATCAGTAGACCGAAATTCACACGCCGGACCACGAAATCCGACTTGACAACTGCAAGTGAAGTAAGAGCCATTCCTTAGACAAGTTCCAGCATTCCAACAAGGATTCGAAGCGCAAGGATCGTTTAACGCAATTCCTAGGTTTGCTTCAGACCATGAAATGTACTTTAAAACAACGAGATGCCAAATACACAGGGCTCTTCCGATCGCATACATTTTCTCATTCGCTATACGATCTCAAGAATCGAGTTTTTGAAAAAAATTAAAAAAGTACAACGCGTGGTTAAACAAAGGATTGTCATGGAAGCAATGGATATTATCCAATCAAGTTGTCGATGGCTCAATGGATTGACCAATCATGAAAGCTGAATGAGCGGTTAAATTTCTGTGGTTAAGACAGCTGGATTTCGCATGTGTTCTTGGCGTGTGCTGCTGAACTTCTTTGTTGTTGTTGCTGCAGGTAGTGTATTTTTTAACTTCTTTTTTCTTTTCTCTTTTGAAATGTGTTCAATTTTAATACTGACACGTGCTCACTTTGAACGTCCTGCAACGCATAGTTAATAAAGTCCACACGCTCGAAACAACCATTCCAAATCTTTTGAGGCACTAGATCTGAATCCTTTGTTTGTAAAATGTTTTCCTAAGTCGCTTGAAGTCCAGTCGTACTGTGTGAACAACCACTCGATATTTCCTCATGTGATTTATTTCTAAGAAGATTCTGGCTGGGGAGAGAGATTTTTTTAACATTGGGAGCTTGACCTCCTTATCGTTTAATAAGACTTC